ACATGGAGAAAAACAACTCCCTGTCATGGCCACACTGCTGTTTTTTGTATTTCAGTCAGCTTTGCGTCTGGCAGGCTGACATGAGTGGCCTTTCCATCCTTTAGCACCTTGCTAAGAAATTTGTAATTTGTAAGATATTTTTAAGACATCCGTAGGAAACGTTACAAAAATGTGTACATTTGGAAAGTTGTGGAAACACTGCAAATGTGAAAAGTTCCATTGTCCATGGTTTTGATCTCTGTTATGATACATTAATCTGATCAAGTCACCTGTTCCCACTGCTATAAAATCCTGCGTCAAAAGAAAATTGGTTTAAAACATCAGAAGATTTATTTAGCATTGTAGTGCCAAATCCATTAGTTAAAATTCCTTCCACTTTCTATTATCAGGACGTCTTTGAAATGCCAAAATGTCTCAAATGTCTCCATCTGCTGCAGTCTTCATGCAGTAGCATTCAGGTGGATGGATGTTTTTATGAATACTACAACAACTGATACATAACACGGAAAAGTTCAAACACAAACAGAAAAATACAACAATAATGATAGAGAAAGCAATAGCACTCGGCTGCTTGTTTCTTGAAGAAGGCCTAAATGAACCTGCTTTACAGCACCGTTCACACGACACGGCTCTTTCTCACAGCACTTCAACAGAACGTGCACGAGAGTCGTGTTCCAGATCACCAAGGAAAACTAAGGTAGTGATAAAGAATGACTTGTTTGTTTCTGTTGTAATTTATTCTTTGGAATAAGGGTTTTATAATAAATGATGGAGAAAAAATAATGGCAGATACTGGATGTCAGATTAGTTGGAAATTAATCCTGGATCAACATAGGCCTACTGTCCAAAAATATAGACTAAACCAATCCCTACCCCTAAACCTAACCCTACCCATAATTTATTCCTAAAATCAGTATGAAATGATAGCTCATTAACAAGAGTATAGAAGCACCTAACCCTGATCGTAAGCCTAAAACAGATATTTCCTGAAAAGTTATTCCTCAATTCTGATTGGTTAATTGGAATGTTGTTCCAGGATCAACAGGGATGTTGTTCCAGGAACATGTTGTACTTGGTGAAATCACGGTCAACCTCTCTCTCTCAGACACATTAAATCTTTATAGGAAATAACCAGAGGACCTTTAAACTTTACAACCTTGTTATAGCAACCTGCTTTTCAAATATCTTTAGTTATCTTTATGTGGCTTTAATCAGATCTACCCAAAATCCTCACTGATTGCTTTAATGATACAATAGTAAAAAAAAAAAAGGATTGTACATATATTACACAATGATGTGTGCATTTAAATATATAGGTCTATGATTTATCTATTTATTGCTCAGTGACTCTTTTGTGGTCATTTTGATATTTTTGTGAGGCTTACAGTCAGATTTGAAAGTTTCACCAAGCTTCATGTATTTGATGAATAGCCTACAGTAAAATTTAGATATTATTGCAGTTTTAAACAACTTTTTTCTTTTTAATCTATTTTAAACAGTAGCCTAATTTACTGGTATGTTGGAAAAGCTCAATTTTAGTCTTTAGTGTTACATGATCTTTCAGAAATCATTCTAATATACTGATTTGATGTTCAAAAAACATTTCTTATTATTATCAATGTTTTAATAATTTTGAGGAAACTGTGATGCTGTCAGACTCTGTTTCTGTCTTGTGTGTGTGTGTTTTGCTCCCCATGTGCCTTCATTGACCTTATTTGGTATTCTTCCTGTTCCTGCTCTCTGATTGTTTCTAATTTGAGTCCAGGTGTTCCCCGTTTAGTTTGTATTGTTCCCAGGTGTGTCCCTTTAGTTTCTGTGCATTTAAACCCTATGTTTCCAGCGCCAGTCCCTGAGTTCAACCCCGTAAGTTCCCCCAAGGATTTTGTTGGGGGGGGTGTTAGTAGGGCTCCGGTCGTAGAGGCGGAGGCGGAGGCGGAGGCAGAGCCGCCATGGCCTCCCGAGCTGCCTGCTCCGCCATGGTGCCCGGATCATTATTTTTTTTTGGGTGTTAGCATCAATATGTTAGTCTTAAGGTTATCTATAAGGTAGTGTGCTCCAAACAGTGACAAAATTCGCATTTAGAAGATATAAGCAATCAAAGCTTTTAGTTCGTCACTTTTGCCAAAACGGCTTAACGATTTTTTTTGTCATCACATCGTACTTCAAATTCTTATCAAATATTCTGACCAATCAAATGCTTTCTAGAAGCCGAAGTACCCGCCCCCTACACTATAATTAGAGCTGTAAATGGAACTCTTTATAAAAGTTAAGAGTCAGCCACACTTACCTAAAACGGCTCGTTCTAACACGCCCCCACATACCTACATCACTATCTGGGAAGATTTGCATAACGCCGCCCAAATGTTCACGCAAAGAAAGAAGGCGTAACTTTTATTCTCGCTGTAGTATTGTTGTTGCCGCCATGTCGTGAAGGCGCTGTGTGCTTCATTGTGAAAGCGAAACTACTTTGTTTGGCCTTCCAAAAGAGGACGATATCGCTTCGTCATGCCTGGAGCTGATCCGTGCTGGTCGGTGAGGAAATACATCAACTTTGCGCTGTGGATCGCCGGATCGGCTTTCACCGTGGACGAAGCGGAGTCCAGCCCGGGGTCATCACATGTGGTTGCCGCAGGCATCACAATATGGTAAGGGGCATAACATTTCCGTCACACGCTTGAGGAATTCGGCCAATCACAACGCACTGGATAGCTGGCCAATCAGAGCACACCTCGCTTTTTCAGACGGATGAGCTTTGTAAAAATCAACGCGTTTCAGAAAGGTGGGGCATAGAGGAGAAACAATAATGTACGGTATGTGGAAAATTATGTGTTTTTTGACCCTTAAACTGCATGAACGCATTTCATTACACCAAATACACAAAATAATGTTCTTTTTAGCAACATCATATGACACATCATATGTGTTTGTGTCGCAAGTTCAGTGACACAGGTAGTGACGATTCTCTCCGGCCAATCCGTGATCAGCAGAGTTTACACGTCACGTTTTGGTAACGGTACGGTACGCTTGGAACCCCAACCGAGGTGGTACTAAAAAAGTACCAGGTACCAGGTACTGTACCCAGTGGAAAACCCCCCAAAGGTGAACCGTACCGAGCCGTACCATGCAGTGGAAAAGCGCCATAATTAGGGCACATGTACCACAGCCTAACCAACGCAACAGCCTGAAATATAACTCGAGTCGAGGAAAGACACTGTATTGTAACTATACCGAAGACAAAACCTTTTCTCAGCCAGTTGCTTCCGTTTGTAGCGTTCGTTTATACATTAACAGTTTAGGAGTGTGTAGCTCCGCTTAAACCACATAATCTCTTGCTAGAATGATGTTGGGTCTCATGTGACACATCGACCCGGAGTTACAGATTCTTTGTCATGAAGTAGAACATACCCAAGAGGTGAAACAGCTTTAACAGCAGCGTGAGGCGGATGAGTTTTCACTCTGTGGAGGGACGGCCTTGGTCGCGTGCTCAGGAATCCACTAGATGGTGAGCGTCCAAATACACACTTGGATTCATTGAAGACATGGGGAAAATGAAGGGTAACGAGGACTGTTTTTAAGTTTGAACTTTCAAATTCTTTTAATAAATGCCTTTGATGTGACAGTTTAAAAAATGTTGGACTTGTGTTGTAAATTGGCGTGGATTGAGCATTTGTGCAATTTTTAGAGTTTAAAGTTGTTGTAAAGGTTCATGTTTTCATATAAACCAACTTTGCGCATTCATATATCACGTATTTGAGAATGCCAATGCGAAAATATGATGCACTGCCAAATAATCGATGACGGGAATGCTCGCCGCAGTGGCGCTTGTGGGAAAAACAACCGATATAAAGTTGGTTCGACGTTTGACGTTGGATATTAGACAGATATTCAGCCGCGAAAAACTTCAATAAATTCTTAGTGGATGAGTATAATTGTATACAAAATGACTTATCTGAAAAGCATTAAAACGTAGAGCTGAACACACATCGCAGTTTATTTGTTATAATCGTCCAATGGCTGCAATATAACAAAGAGTGAAAAATTTAAGGGGGTCTGAATACTTTCCGTACCCACTGTACATATATTGTATAGTATTGTAACGTGTTCAGAATGTTGTTGTGTTGTAGAAAACAATGTGTTTAATGTTAATGTTGCACTTTTTTTCCTTTTTGCATTTGGAACTGTAATTGGTTCAAGTGTATAGGGAAAGAGGCTCCACCCCCTGGGGTGTGTGTAAGGGGAAACTGAGAGAAGGGGGTCGCTGAGTTGCTGGTGCAAGTGCGGTTCTCTCTCAAGTCGGGGTGTGTACGGCGGCGTGGGTTGTGGGCCTTGTGGCCGACAGCAGCCCAAATAAACACCCCTTTTGCATCAAAAACACCTCGTCCTTGTCTGAGAACGCTACAGTATTATAGATTCACTTTTTGTGAGATCTGGGCCCGTATTCACAAAACACCTTAAGGCTGAAAGTAGCTCGTAAGCTGACAATTAGCTGAACACATACTTGTTTAATTAGTAACACTTAGCCTGCATTTTAAAATCTTTATTAGAATGTGGCAACATTTTTATTTTTAAACCTTTATCTTTAATCTCTGACAGATACTATCAGCCAATCACACTTTTTCCTTCCACTCAACTTTCTGTTAACATGCTTGGATACAGCACTCTATGAACAACCAGCTTCTTTGGCAATGAATGTTTGTGGCTTACCCTCCTTGTGAAGGGTGTCAATGATTGTCTTCTGGACAACTGTCAGATCAGCAGTCTTCCCCATGATTGTGTAGTAAGCATGCTGACATCATCCATAGCAACGAGGTCAACTTAAGACTTCTCTCTATGCCTTGGTAAAAGTTTGTCTCAGCAGCATTGTGAATAGGTTTTAAGAGAAAACTCTTGGCTAAAAACTTTTACTGCTATTTAGGAGAACTCTTAGTGGTAAGAGAAAATGTTTTGTGAATACGGGCCCAGATCTACATGGAATATTTATACTTTTTAAAACTGATTTGTCATTCTGCATAAACTACAAAAACCTGGCAAGGTGGAAAAGAAAGAGCAAAAACAAAATGAAATGGCAACCAGTTCACCAAAAATATACACTAACATTCACAATTTTGGGATCCGTGAGGCTTTTTATTGTTTTGAAGAAGACTCTTATGTTCACCAAGGCTTGCTTTCATTCTTTTAATCGGAAATACAGTAAAAACAGTAATATTGTGAAATATTATCATATTTATTCCTGTGATGGCAAAGCTGATTTTCAGCAGTCATTACTCCAGTCTTCAGTGTCACGATCTATCAGAAATCATTCTAATATGCTGATTTGCTGCTCAAGAAACATTTCCTAGTGGTTGATATTTTTGTAGAAACTGATAAAAAAATATTCAGGATTCTTGGAGGAATAAATAGCATTAATTTGAAATAGATTTTTTGTAACATTATAAATCTTTACTGTGATTTAATTTATCCTTGCCAAGTAAAATATTAATTTGTTTCACAAAAAACTACAGTACATTCATTTACATTTTAATCTATAATCTTGATGTTGGAAAAAAGAGAAAACTGAATAAACTGGCACCTTCTGGAGAACAAAAGGTTACACTTTATCTTATTAAATTAAAGAAACATTCTTTCAATAACTAGAGTTTGGGTGTGAAACTTGGTTATGCAGAACGTTCATGGCTTTACAGAGAATTCAAATAAATCTCTCGGTGTGTGTATGTGCTGGAGTGAATACCTCAGTAGGATTGAGCCAGTGGTCGTTGTTGTCTAAACTGGGGGCGCTTTTCAGGGCACACACAATGGTCTTAGTGAGAGCTTCTCCTACTCTGGCCCCATCATCCATGTCCTACGGCACAACGATAAATACAAAAATCACCAAAAATAAAAGAAAGAAAGAAACTACATCTGACTGAAGTACACATCAAATAGAGTCATCTTGATTAATCAAATTCTTATACAATTGTTTAAACTGCCCAGATAGTTTGAGCAATCAGGTTTGCTAATGGGAGCATTTACAGTAAACAGGCATCTTAGATAGCTGTTTGATTACACAAGATGCATTTTACAGTTGGTGGAAACACAACCTGATTTCAGCATATTTCAAAAGATGCACTGAGAGGAAGCTATGATTCACAATAGAAATAATCCAGCAAAGTCATAAAGTGTTTTACCATCTCAATCCAGGAGTTCACACTGACAGTCACTGGATCCACTGACTCCACATAGTGCCACCAGTGTCTGGGCACAAACAGAACCTGATGAAAGATTACAGCAGTCAGTCAAAACTCTGAAGATATTAATAGCACATCAAGCAAAGACCTGCCGAGTATACTTATTTAATATTAATATTAAATGAACACAGTATTTTACTAATCATTTAATAAATTTTTTCATCACATTATCAGCACAACAATTTGAGTGAATTTCAGGTGCTCTTAGTATTTAGTTTGTTCATCTTTTGTTTTGACAGCGGCACTCAAGCTGCATCAACTACAAAAAACTGTGTAAAACCTGATGATCATGTCCTCCAGAATGAAATCAGAATAATCCGAAGAGCATCTTGTGTGCCTGTGCACACACATATATATATATATATATATATATACACACATTTATATATATACACATATATACACATATACATACAGTGGGTATGGAAAGTATTCAGACCCCCTTAAAGTTTTCAC